ACCTCTTTTTCATTCTATTATAGTAAGAAACTTTCGTTGGTGAACTATGTTTGATTCGAATTATAAGATCTTGTTCCTCTTTTATTATCTATTTTGGAGCATCCACCAGCCTTTCCATCCATAGAAGATATATCCGATGAAAACAACCCCACCGCTTGGCCTATTATCGGGTCCAAGGTTCTTAATGCAATTTGTCATGGAAAGACAAGAGGATAATTTGACAGAGGTAAACAGCTCACAAGTTATTTGTGATAAAGTTATTAGGATCTATTCACCATGATAACTTTAGCATGTTAGAGAAATCCGTTCATATAGAAACCAGGGAGATGTAAAAATTTACGTCTCCCTGTAGAAACCATCATGATCTATTTATGCTAATATGTGCAGTGTTTCAAAAAAAAAAAAACTACCAGAAGCACAACCAATGAGGTCGGGATCTGTTTAATAAACTGAAGGCTGATTGGTTATCTCATGAATTAATTTACCATGTTAACCATGATGCATCAACATGTGTCACTAGATCCAATAAAGGCGGTTAAACTGAGCACGTCATTTGATTCTAGGTTCACATAAAATTACTGGCTTGATGGGTATCATGATAAACTCTGAATGTGAACCTAGCTACTGTGAAAAAATTCTTCCATTCCTAAGAGCTTCGCGATTTCAACTTCCAAGAAGACGTAAGAAATTAAAATTGAAATGTGGAACAAGCAAGACTACGTCCACCGTTTCGTATGTCTTGGAAATATGGATCCTGTAAATGTTAAAAAGTTTGTATTTTCTACAAAAATTTGTCGTTCATTTCATTACCCAATAAAAGACCAGATTATTAATCTTTTAAAATGACCTGTAAATTTGCTGATAACGATATTTTATTTGACACTAGTTTGTTGCCATTAAGAAATAAATAAATCACTCTTAAATCTTTTCACAAAAAGTTTGACTGTGTTAGTGTTTCTGCCATGGACATTACGAATTCCCTCTTGACAAATTCGAAACTAATAGCAAGAAACTTTCTTATTTTAAGTACTATTATAATAGTCTGATATAATTTTATAATTCAAGGTAAAAGATACAAGATGTTTTTACTGTAATTTTTATTATTTATTACTATTATTATTATCATTGTTATTATTATTGTCAGCATCATTATCATCGTCATCGTCGATATTGTTATCATCATTATAGTCTTCATCATCATCGTACATAATATGAAAGCACTCACTATAATAACAATAATAAAAATATAGTAATTATATTTTATAATGACTCAAAACCTGGTTATGTTTAATGTTATATTTAATATTATTTCAATACAAACTTCACTTTATTCCTTTTTTTTTTAAATTATCCGGAAAAGGCGCGGTCCTAAATCTCAGGACATTACATTCAACATATTATCATAACAATAAAAGTGTAGTAATAGTATTTTATGATGACTCAACAGATTATGCTTAATGTTGATTGAAATAAATCATAGTTTAAGTTGCAAATAACTCCAGACTACATTCGATGAGAGGGCAATATGATTCATTGTCTTAATAATTGTCTAATTGTCATGTTTTATCTAAACGTCGTCTGCTACTTATAATAATACACAAAACCTACCCTTATTATTATTCCAGACAGTTTCGTCAGAGTAAAATGGCTAGACAAATATCACAAAAAGTGTCATTTTATAACTAAATTTAAATACAATAATTATTAGAACGTGGCATGAATGTAGCATGGTTTTGAAAGATGGATATGCGCTGTGCACGGTTGGAAGATATCCAAATTGAAGTATAGTTTTAACTCTACTTTTATTTAAAAGCTTCACTACATTTTAGGCGTTTAATTTAGCACCAAATTATTAATGTACTGTTATTGTAAGATTAGTTTGCTAATATATTTTAGTCACATAAAGTTAGTTGGTTGGAGCAGGGAACAGTTAAATTCCCTGGTTGGGGTAGTCAATAATAACAGAACATTTGTTTCACACATTCTTACATGGCATCTCGGAAACTGGATTTTCTGCATCTGTAACTCTTGATCAATAAATTACGTCTTTTTTTGCAGAAATTTTATATTCGAGTGGTGAGACTTTTATTATGCCATGTGATTGAGTATGGAAATGTTGATATAAGGCGCCTATGAATTTCCACCACACTCGGACCAAATGTGGAGGAAAATTAGCTGAGCCTTCATTCCTTCTGCCTGGCCTTCGCTTTTACTGCGTGTATGTTGTGGTTCAATGACATGATGAAAAGAAAACCCTGAAAGTAAGACCAGGAACGTATGACTGCTCCCTGGTATGAAACTGTTGATTTCTATGCTACATAGACCAAGTAAAACATCAACATTGCAATTTGAAATAGATTTTATTTTCTAACGATAACTACGTCTTTTCACAAACTACACCTTTCTATTTTTATTTAAAATTTATTTTTGGAACATCAAAGTGAACAAAGCAGAATCTTCTGAATGTTAATGCTTTCGTTGATCTTTATACCAATCAACTATTCTATAGGCATACATAATTACTTTAGAACTATAAACATGCGAACTAATAAATTACGTCATTTAAGTACCGGTAGTCAATGTATGACCCCACTGTAGGAGTAATACTTGTATCATAATAATCAATAATTTAGGATAAACAAAAGAATGACATCTTCGTCGTTATGGGAACATGTTTCGGATTTGGATGAAATAGGATGTCGCGTAATATTTAACCACTGACTGGCAGCGTAACATCTGCAATCACATCATTTACGCCTGCTCTGAGGATGGCATCTGAACATTGTTTAGTAAGCACCTGCGTGCAAAGCGAACTCATGTCATCCGGATTGCAAATCGCAGCTTTACATTTCACTAAAACCTGAAAGATGAAAGAATAAATATCTTAGACTAAAACATGTATATAACGAATATAAAAAATATAATATATATAAACCTGGTACATATGTAAATATGAATTCATTATAATAGATAGGCCTAAAATCATAAAAACAATAAATAGATGGATAAAAACAGTATTCAAATAAAAGCTGTGTATATATG